CATGCGAACAAGAAGCGCTGACGGTCGGATATTCAGGTAGGAAGCAATGTCTGGGTCAAGATGTCTGAATTCTCAGAAGAAGAGGGAGTCTCACGCAAACTCCTCCCTCTCTATTATGGGACCTGGGAAGTTTTGGATGTGATTGGTGAAGATAACTTTGGCCCTTCGTACGTCGTTGATGTGCCAGCCCATCTGCGCACATACCCCGTGTTCCACGCATCCAAACTGTACCTCCACCGTGATGCTAAGACATTCGACTATCGCGAAGATATGATCCCTCGCGCGATCGAAGGCGGGCACGAGATAGACAGGATCAGACAGCACGTAGGGAAGGGACGCAACAGACAGTACCAGGTTCACTTCATGTATCACCCATTATACGATCTGTACTGGATTTCCAAACAGGAACTGCTACACAGTGCACCGCGTGTTGTCAAAGCATATGAGCGACAAATTGCCATTAGCGCAGTACCTACGATCTCTGCAAAGCTCACTGCAACAGAGTACTCTAGGAATCTCTTTGCCTTGCTCGCTTACGATGCATTTGTCTAGGACTCAGAGTGAGTTACTCGCTCGAAGGGACCTCGCTCTTGAGGGGGGAGTAGTGTGATGACCAGTCCATACATGGACTGAAACACACAGCTGATTTCTGAGTTTTGCCCATAAACTGAATGCCCTGCTGAGTTTCCCGCATGCTTACTAAGTCTGTGTGTGCACGCTTGCTGGACTGCATGTCTGTCTGAGTGCTTGATGGCTTGAGTGTGTGTGTGACCATGCCTGTCTGAGTGTTGGTTGGCCTGGGTGTGTGTGTGACCGTGCCTGTCTGAGTGCTGGTTGGCATGAGTATGTGTGTGGCCTGTCAGGGCACTTGCTCGTTCGTTGGGCCCTCAGGGCCGGTACTTACCTGTGGCCATGACATTGAGGGGTTGCAGCGGGGAAAAACACTCAAGTAGCGGGTAGGCCGGTATTGCACCAGGAAGGGGTAGATGTGCAGGTACCGGAGGCCGAGCAGAAGAAGACAAAAGTGGCATTTTTAGAGGCCCAGTAGTTGTAGGTAGGTCTGGGCGGATATCAGTCCAACCAGTCTGGGTCTAGGGCCTGTAACGGGCAATATCAGAGTCTGCAATGATGTTTCCCTCCGAAAGGGAGGAGGTGCCGGTGTCTTGGGAGGCCAAGTGGCCTGGAAGTCACCGCCCAAGAGGCAAAGCAGGCCGCTATATCTTCTGGCCGGGCGGAGAGTCCGGCCTCTTTTTTGGTGTGCAAGTTTGGAGACACACTGGTGGAGCGCTGGCTGGAGCAGTGCTAAGCTGGAGCAGCGCTGCTGGGGAGGAAGGAGAAGGACACGAGGGAGGAAGGAGGAGGAAGGGGGGAGGAGCGCCAGGGGTACTTACCGGGCTATCGTGACAGCCATCTTCATCACCTTGGTGGGCGCTGCAGCAGGGAGTCCCCAGCTGGGGAGAGCTACACCAAGAAGCTTTGGGGCAGGGTCAGGCATGGCGGCCTGAGCTAGAGCAGCCATAGCTGCTTTGGGTTGTCCTTTTGGCATCTGAGCAGAGCCCAGTAGTCCGCCATAGCCTCGGCCTATGAGAGTGAAGAGTGAGAGAGGCAGCCATGGCTATGGTGGACCTTAAGTAATACCTGCAGTAGAAGAGGAACTCGGACATTGATTCTGGATCAGTCATTCAACATTGAATTATTATTTCTTGTATGAATAAGAGAAGGGGAAGATAAGGAGGAGGAGAGTGTTGGGCGAAGAAGAAGAGCCTTGTCATTGTCTTTGCTGGTGTACATCTTCTTCTTCTTCTCTTAATCCTCTCTCTCCTCTCAAGTTCATTCATTTCTTTCTGCAATTGGATGGCATTGTACTTTCCGGTGGATGTGTATCGTGAAATTGGCCAGGGTCTTAACACCCCCCTCTTTTGTGAAAAACAATGGACCATTTCTCTGAGTGGGGATCCGGGCCGCCCGGGTGACCGGCAGGGGCCCGGGGGAGGTCCCGGGTGGCCTGGCCGGGCAGGGCACCCGGTTCGGGGCCGGACCCCCCTAGCGGAGTCGCCTGTTGGGGGATATCGGACCCCCTTACGGACCCCCTTTGTGTGTGGGTGTTTGTGTGTGTGTGTGTGTGTGAGAGAGAGAGAGAGAGAGAGAGAGAGAGCGAGAGAGAGAGAGAAAGATGTGTTCGAATCATACTTGCAGCGCATCTCATGCGCGGGGTGCCGCACACACATGCACGACGGATCAAACACTGGTACAAACTGTACCAGTACCGATCGGATAGCTGCTTGGATGTCAGTTTATAATACTCTGTGATGTCTCTGCCGCCTTTGCGCTCTATGCCACCACCTTTTTCTTTTTTTTGACCGGTTCGACAAAGATGTGGGTATGCGCTGACAGTTTGAGGTTCAATGTTTAGAAAGAGCTGTGTTTTTGGAGAGTCTCTTGGAATCGGCTTCATGTAGAATGTAAACACTTGAAGCATAAATCTAGAGAGGGTGATCCTTAACATGATTGTACATGTCTGTTTTTTTCATGGTAACCACGGACCCGGACACCGGACATAACCGGACACCGGACAGTCCGGACCGGTCCCCGGGGTGCAAACAATGTCCCGGAAAAAAAACAAAAAAAAAAAACAAAAAAAAAAAAACCGGGGGTTGGGGAGGGGTTGGGTGGGGGTGTTGGCAGGCACTTACCTGCTTTGCACTCTGTACTTCACACAGCAGAGCACATGTCTTGCAGCAAATCAACCACCAGTGCCCACCACATTTAACTAGCAGACATGCAGAGTTGCAAACAGTGCAAAGCAGGCACAAGACTAAAGAAACAGAGAATCTTTTTTTGAAAAAAGTATGATTAACTTTGGACTTTGAACTTTGGATTTAGTAACTTAAGTTCATAAGTTCATATATAACTTAAAAGTTCGAACTTCACAGTTCAATTCAGAATGTCAGAGTCTTAAGTTCATAACTTCATATATAACTTAAAAGTTCAAACTTTGCAGTTCAATTCAGAACGTCAGAGTCTTCAGACTGGCAGCACTGTCAGTGCTCTCTCTCTCTCTCTCT